TAAACCTGTCCTTAAACAACACTTGTTTTAAACAACAGTTTTTGACTTTACATTAGCAAAATTATCTGTTGAAGCTGGTTAACCAACATGACCTTGCTGGTTAAACTAGTCAAGAACCCTCTTTCAGACACCAGCATCCAAAAGCAGGCCAGCCCAGATGTTAAACCACAAAAGCACAAGCCTAGGTAAACCATAAACACTTTATCACACATTTTTTCCCCCCCAGTGTGGCAGTAGTTGGCTTATACACACTGTGTGCATGGTCGAGGGGGACATTCAATTAAACAGAACAATTATCCTCTCTGGAAAACATTTAGTCAACGTTCAAATCAAATTCAATCAGCTTGACTGAAGATGCTTGCTGCTCTTTTTTTCATGGTGTTGAGCGGAAGGGTGGTATTTATATTTGATATGGCTCTTTTTAATATGATGCTACATGCAGGTTTCCAGGTGGTGTGGAGGTGTACAGGTGTGCATAATTCATAGGTTTTTTCTCTCTTATTTTTCTCTGCGGAGGAGGAAGAGGTGGATGGAGTCGTGTAGCCCACAGAAAGTCCAGAACTCACACATGCATCGACTCCTGCAATAGTCCAACATCTTTAAAAGAGCAACATAGATTAATACTGTATGTGCATGCTTATCTGTGTTTGAGTGACTCAGGAAGCATTCAAACACATGGCTCAGACCTCTCAATTATACATTCAACCGTCAGCGCAAATTAAAAAAAGCCCACGTCCCCTTTGTTGCACTTATCTTGTTCCTTCAGAATTACATGGCCTATTTTGTGAAGAATGACCTCAATATTTCATTCAAAAAGGTGAATGTGGACTAATTGGGTGTATTTATAAAAGGCTACGACCCTTTAATGCATTCGGAGACCGTGCACAGTTCTCTTTATTTCATCCTTTCTTCATACGTCTATATCATCATGTGTGCACACACTCGAAAAAGCCTCAAACTGCTATCCCACACATACAGACAGTCAAACAAACAAGCTAACCTCCACTCTATTACTGCAAATTGTTTTGATGAGCAATGGATGCAGCTGGGGACATTTACACACAAAGAGTTTGTACGTAAAAGTATCATTAAAAATTCTACACAGGGTTAGAATAATAAGAAATAGCAAATAAATATTTTTTTAAATAACACTTTTTTTTTTAAGTGCAAATGTGATATCTATAATTACACATCTTATGAATAAGATGTGTAATTAAATTATTTGCTCGTGAATCAGGAAAACTAGTCAAGCACTTTCGCTGATGTTGTTTATTGTTTTTACGTTTAGCCCGAGGACAACTCAATAAAAAAGACGTGTTTTGGCATGTCAAAATAACATGGTCATGATGGTTTGAGACTATTTTGGTCGGAAAATATCTAAATGTTTAGCCTACCTAAAATTAAAGAGTCGTTCATGAGCGGCAGGTGTTGATCTTCATAAAATCCTTCCTCATCGCCACAATAAAATATAGGATATATTTGCAGGCTTGATTTTGATGGACAGTTGGTAAATCTATTTGATCCAGCGCTGTTTGTGTAAAACATCCTGTTCTACGGTAAAATTACTATTGTACGCAGAGATATGTATATCTTCAGCTTCAGTGCGTGCATTAGCTGTTCGAATGATTTAGACCAGGGGTGTCCAAACTCGGTCCTGGAGGGCCGGTGTCCAGCAGAGTTTATCTCCAACTTGCCTCAACACACCTGCCAGGAAGTTTCTAGTATGCCTAATAAAAGCTTGATTAGCTGGTTCAGGTGTGTCTAATTGGGATTGGAGCTAAACTCCGCAGGACACTGGCCCTCCAGGACCGAGTTTGGGCACCCCTGATTTAGACTGAACAATTGCTGCTACTCCATTTCAAAGGAGAACCGACTCAAAAGAGTTCATTCATTCGCGAATCGGGAATCGCTAATTCTGATTCTTAACAGAAAATATGCAAGAATGCTGAAAACTAAAATACTGCGAGTATTGTGTCACCTTCACCACAGACCTGGTCATTTAATGGGGTTTGCATGACCAGTTTTGCTTGGTAAAATGAGAAAAAAATCCTTAATAAATATTTGTGGAAGTTTACTTTTCTTGCAAGGAACATGCAGGGGAGTAATTTTTTTTTTCCTTTTGAGGTTGCATTGATCGCAACATTACCGTAACTGATGTGTTAAAAATTTGGTATGGAGAACCACTATCAAAAATGACAGATTCCTGTATTTCAGTGGGGTCATGCACCAGCCGAGCAACTGCCATTGAAATGAATGAGAATAGCTTTCTCCAGGTATTATATAGACCTCCTTGATGTAGGTAGTAGACAGCTATGGGAGCTCATAACTCCTCTCTCTTTCACTTTTTATGCTTGCAGATGTTTGTGTGGGAGGTAGACTGCCTTGTATTTACCCAGTCAGGGAGCTCCTACCTATACAGGAACCTTGGAGAGAAAAAGCCACACTTCGCTATGGGTTCCATTTTCGGAGCTGATCATAAAGCGAGCCGCTTCACCTGCTTTGACTTCTCTGATTACTGCTCGCCACCGTGTTTTTAAAGCATACTGAGAGATTTATGCTTTCTATTATAGAGGTTTTATTTATAATGCTTGATATTAAGTATTTTATTTTCCGGCATTAAAATGAAAAATGAGCATGACTGAAACATCTTATCTACAGCACTAAAGCTTGCCCATAAATACATAATAATGCACGGCTTTATGCTTTTCTTCACATCACTCAGCCCACAGATAGAAACAAACACTTAATCAATAATATCCACAAAACATTCACATCCTAGGGTCAGAACCTTTTTTTTTTTTTTTGTGCAGGTTGCACATGCGGTTTGCAAAAAATAGGCTTATTAGTTTATTTTTGGCACATGGGAAAAATAAGTAATACAGCAATGCATTGTCTTAGTTATAAACAGAATGCCTTACATTTTTCATCAATATTCAACACATTTGTGCACTAGACTCAAAACATTTGATATATATAAATATCCAATAAACAAGCCGATTAATTAACTATATATAATATAACAACACCTGAAAAAATGGAAGTGGTGAGCACAAAGTCAACGCGGATTTTATACTTCGCGTTAGACCCGTCTGTGCTGCCGTAGTTCGGAGTCCGGAAGCATCATGGACATCGGGAAGCCAAAAACTCGTTGTTATAAACAAATGTAAGAATAATTCAGATTGCAGATGTTATTTTTAAACGAAGAAGAACTGAATTACAAAAGTCAGTCGTTAATACTCACATTTCGAAGTGTTATCGCGATATATGAATGCCTTCAGAGTGTTTACAGTGAGAAAGTTGAGTGTCTGTGTCGTGCTGTTTATGTGGCAGTTTCACATCTGACTTCTATTAATCCTGAGCTTTGGCACGCGTATTGTGTTGAACAGGATCGATCGACATAACTGTTATATCTTTTATGTATACATCGTTTTAATTTAGCAAAACCGTCAAATGCTTAAAACATCTAATCTCTACTCTTTATGTATACATGTACATGAAGCTGAAACCGGGGCTAGTTGTCACACCTTTCACTCCAGTTACAGTGAATATTTTTCAAAATGTTTACCCTGAATATTACGGTTGGGATGTTTTTTTTTTAAGTCAGCATCTAAATATAAACAGTATTCCGTTTATACATACAGTTTATACAGTGTATGATCGACATAACTGTTATATCTTTTATGTATACATCGTTTTAATTTTGCAAAACCGTCAAATGCTTAAAACATCTAATCTCTACTCTTTATGTATACATGTACATGAAGCTGAAACCGGGGCTAGTTGTCACACCTTTCACTCCAGTTACAGTGAATATTTTTCAAAATGTTTACCCTGAATATTATGTTTGGGATGTTTTTTTTTTAAGTCAGCATCTAAATATAAACAGTATTCCGTTTATACATACAGTTTATACAGTGTACTCTGTAAAGGAAATGTGCACATTTGTGTAACTGGACTTTAGACTCAAAACCTTTGATTTACCAGAGTATCTTCTTTTGTGTTCCAGTAATTGACTGTTTCAAGAACATTTCACTCGAAAATGATAATACTATTCCTAACCCATATGACATTCTTTCTTCTGTGGAACACAAATGAAGATATTTTGAAGAACGTTTCAACTGGTTTTACCCATACAATAAATAATTTTTTGTGTTCTGCAAAATAAAGTTACTTTAGAATGGCATTAGGGTGAGTGAATGATAACATAAATGGCTTTATATTTTTGTTGAAGTATTCTTTTAATATATTAAAAAATAATATATGCCATAATTTCTTATCTACACCAATAATGCATAATGTTAAATGGGGACAACTCAATAAACCAGCCATCAGGCCTTGGGCACAAGAGCCAAATCTAACCTTTATAGTAATCCACTTGAGATATGAATGCTGCAGTGAGTCATTAGAAGCACTTTCAACTTTGCTAATGTTATCCAGCATGTAAATCAAATGCAATGTTTCATTTTTTATAATAAATGTGATTTTGCCTATGAAAACAGTATATGCTGGTGAGTCAGAGGTATATTCAAGCTGTAGTACCCTTGATTAAAATGAACAGGCCTGAGAACAAAAGGAATACTAGCATACTACTCACTGAAGACTGCACAGTGTGCTCTATTTTTAAAGCAAATTGTATGTGAAACATGTAGCATTCAACAGAAAAATTTAGAATTTAAATTTAGATTCACGTGGCGTCATCACATTGCGTGTTTAATTTAGCATGTGCCATCTGACAAACGAGTCATGAAACAGATATAGAACACTTAAAATTGAAGATCAAATCAAGCAAATATCAGTGTTGAAATTAATCTAAATAACTAGAGTAATAAGCTAGTACGCTATTGCCAGCATAGTCTCTTTGATTGTGATTTTGTGCATACATCAAGATGTGTATAATATCAGTCTTTTTAAACTCTGCCTTTAAGTTAGATTGTGTTTGTTTGGATGTACCTTTGAATCCACTTCAGAGTTGTTGATCGCCAAGGGTTCCTCCACAGGTCACCAATGGACTCTTCATGAGTGTGTTTTTAGTGGTACTGCCACTGGAGTCTCTGGCTCATGGACTCTTCCATGAACTGGGAAACTGCTTGGGAGGCACCTGCGTTGGGTATGCAGTGGTAATTCCCACTTGCTACAGCAGGTAAATGCACATATACATAACAGGGATACTGCATACAAAGGCATTTTCTGACTTGCATGTTCACATTGTCACAAGTACTTTGATAGAAATCAATACCATGCAGAAAGCTTCTCGTTGATGTTTTATATACCAAACATCGATACCTGGGAAACAGTTTTTCTTATGAATCATACTTCTTAGAATCAGTTCACATGCATTTACATGTATTTATCTAGCAGAAGCTTAAAGTGACTTGCAACTGAGAAATACTTGTAATTTATCATAGAGTAATCATATTAGCAGCAATGCAAGAGAAATTCCGTTTCAGAGAAAATAAATTGAAAGGAAATGTTTTTTTAAATTATTATCTGAAATGCTATTATTTATGCTTGTGGATTAATTGTTTCTTCTGTTTGTGTCAATCCATATATATAAGCTAAATATCTGTACCCACCGCAAAAGTATATTTATAACAGTTTTTCCTATTGTACCTTTAAGACTTTGACAGTATATGCAAATGACTTCTATTTTGATTGGCCTTTATTTACCAGTATAGTTCGCATTGCTGTTCCTCAGGTCGGGTCAAGTTGCTGAATACTGAATAGCTTTTGATATTTAAATCTGACCGTGGTTGTGATTTCCCTTATGATGAAGATAAAGTATTTTAAAACAGCTTGTTTTGTTTGTGTATCTAAATCAGGAAGATGATTAATAATCATGATTACACTATCAAGGGAAATAATCTGCTGCCCCACTCTTGCTCATCTTGAATGTGCATCTTGATCAGTCCTTTGCTAAGTGTCCAGAAATTGAAGGGTGGAAAACCACTCCGGATTGGATCTTATGAACACATGTTAGCGTTAAATAAGCTCATAGCCTTTAATAAACTTGGTCTATTGCTGGTCCCGCTGGGGGAAGCATGTGCCATGCATACTGGGAGAGCGAGGGTGGGGTACAAGGCAGGCCTTCAGTCAGGTTGCTGATTATGATGTCGATTAGGATGCAGCTCCACAGCCTCTTCACGCTCCGTATTCCAGCACTCTTGGTGAAAAGGCTCAGTGTGGAGCGGGCGCATGAGGGGAATGTAGCAAGGTGTAATCTTCCGTTTGATGGGTACAGATCATGTTTTTACCATGACGAGGGCCTCTTGGGAAGATGAAAGGGGAGGGAGGGAGGAGAGAGAAATGCTCAGGTCGACAGGCTCGACTTCAGCAGTAAGAGCTCTTTTTCATTCTTAGCAGATGCTGTGGTTTCCTCTCACATTTAAAAGGAAAGAGCTCTGGCCATCATCCAAATTTTCAGATGGCTTACCCAGAAAGCATTTTAATAGTTTATATAAACTGTGAACGATTTATTAGCCCTTTTAATTAAAATCTTGTTGAACTGTTCTGAAAAATGCCTTGTTGCTAGTAAACTTTGTGTGAAATGGCATTTCAGCTAAAATTTTGCCTTTGGTAATGATATTATTTTTTAAAGTGTTGGGGAACGAGAGGCATTGAACTAGGGATGGGTTGAGCAGGAAAAAATAGGATCAAGCAGGAAAGCTACGAGATTGAGAGATAAGGAAAGAGTCCTGACAAACGAGCTCAGAGAAGCGGTCATTTATGCTTGAATAGCTCAGCACCTGCCTGGGTAGTTTTCATGGGTCACTGTGCCTTAGACTCACCATTTCAGTCTTCAGCAAGCATGGGAAATAATCTCTCAACACTGCCACCACAAAGAATTGGTCTTGGTTTTATAATCACAATCTTTGGGAAGCAATGGTATGGGGAGGATCATAATGGTATTGGTTGTTAATTGTCGACTGTTCTTGGTGATATTTACAGCGGAAGCTTTGCTGTGCTCTTTTAAAAAGGCAGAACCGGTTAGCTTGACCCTGGGAGGAGCTGCTGAATTACTTGCTTGGATTTTTCAAAAAAGTATTAACATCATCCTTACTATGGCCTTTCTCCTTTTCTTTGTACCTTTTTCTGCATCTAAGCCTTTTTTAATTCACTCTCCATTGTGCTTATCAATCTTCTTTTTTGTACATGGGTCAGTGTACACTCATAAGGTCAAGGTGACCCAGTTAGCAATTCAGAAGCATCAGGCTCTCTTTCACATTTCACCCATCATTTTATCCTCTTTTTCTCGATTGGATGCAGTGCGAATGGACAGCCATTGCTGTTGCCTCCGGGGCAAGCCCAGGAATTGCACTCCACAGCTACTTTGAACGCTGTGCAGCGACTCTTCTCCCACCACCTCATCCAGACCTTTGGATGTGACTACTCCACCAGTCTAAGCCTGGACACCCTGCAGGCCAATCTGCGCTCCTTTCTGGAGCTGTGCACCGCAGAAGGCCCGCGGCATGACACCTACATCCTCTACTACAGTGGCCACACACTTCCCAGCGGAGACTGGACTCTGGCAGGTAAGAGCTGGATAGCAGGTGCAATTTGTAGGGAAGAAATTATCTAAATTAACTGAGAGTTAAGGTTATGAATTGTACAGCGTGTATAGGTGAAAATGTATGGATGAAGACCCAAACTCAATTTATTTCTGTATGTCATGCACCAATCGGGAGTTATTCATATCATAGATTCTTAAATGCTAAAATCAATATTGCTTTTTCAGGTCTTTGTAAAAGAGATCAAGGCACGAATGCTTTTATTTTGGCTGGGCTTCAGCAATTTATCGTTCGGAAAGCTTTCCGAAATTTAAATATATATCTTGGCTCCAGCGCTCCACCATGCTTTATCTTCCTGCCTGTGTGTGCGTCCTGTAACTCAGTGAGGTATTAATCCTTATGAGCGATATGGGATGTCACAGCCTCTGTCATACTGTTTGATCAAACCAGGGTGGGTGAGAAACAGCCAGGAATCCTCATTCAGTTTTTGAATGAGGTACTTGCAGAGCGTTTTTTTCGCAGTCTTTCCCGCAGTGTGGCAAACTGTCAGATTTCTTACACCTTTTCCGTGTTGCTCACACCGTCTCTCTCCATTTCCCCTGCGGCAACAGCCCGTCACGTCTTGTCAGCACTTTCTGTATTTGTGAATGAGTATTTCTCGAATTCAAGCTGGTGCAATGATGATTGAATAGTCGCATTGTTTGAACTAGTCTAGAGTTGGCAACACCTTGGTAGTAAACGACCAAGGGCCAGATTTACTAACAGCTTGTGCCAGCACAAACCATCTTTTGGCGTTAAAATAGTACTGTCAGGATTTACTAAAGACGCGCAGTGAAGAATTAGTGCTGAAAAGGTGTGGACAGAGTTACATTTGCGCCTGATCTTATTGAATATGCATTTGTAGGGGTTTCCCTTTATGAGAGGTAAAATTTATGAGAGGAGAGTTTTCAAATGAATCACGCAACGTGATTTAATAACGTTTGCGCTCGGCCTTATTTAACACCCAAAAAAGCATGTCTTAAACTATTTTGCGCTTGAAATGGCTGCATTTGTTGTTGATAGGAGGAGGCACCACAGATAGGCCTGTCGCAATAATCAATATATCGATTTATTGCGCAATATATGTACATGACCTCAATCATTTTTGGTGACGCAATATATTGCCCATTATATTTACTTAAAAATGAATGTCACCATGCTTTTTGCATTCCACTTGCGCCTGTGTCTTCTGCAGCTTCTCGTACATAACGTGGTGTAGTCATGAGGTGCTAGTTCAAATTTAAAAAATGCTTCTACAAACAAAGTTTCATCTGCAGATATGGTCTTGTTTAGGGATCTGTGCCTTTGTGCATACGGACATCTGACTGCTGAGTAGTGATTGTGTTTTTCAGCAATAGTGTGCACTAGGGCTGCACGATAAATCGAAATGGAATCGAAATCGCGATTCAACAGAAGCTGCGATTGTCATGCGTATCTTTCAGTGAAGCACGGTTCTGTGATCAGCAGTAAATCTCCATCCAAAGGCCAGAGGGCGCTCTCGCGCTGAAACTCCAAATACGCCTCGCAAAAGAAACCCAGGAAATGCCTATAGCGGTGAGAGCTATTGATAGCGGTAGCTGGATAAACAGAAGATTTAACTGCTTTTATTGATTCAACATGACTAATAAACACACGGTTTTGACAATATATGGTTTATCCGAGTTATTATTATTATTATAATTTTCATTAAAATAAAGTATATTTATAATGCAATGCCTTTATCACTGCTTAGAATACTATGAAATATGTTGCGTGCCTTATTCTGTGTAAGAAGCCACATCATCTCACAGAAGGATTTATTTCAAACACTCGACTGACGTTATGAAGTGAGTTTGGAGTAAAAATATGTTATTAAATGTGGTATTTTCACATGCTTTCAGATGGAGCAGCATTTACTATACAGAGCCGTAGTTCACTGAGATGCAAAACAGCTGTCATTATCGCGAACGATTTCCTCAATTTCATAATCGCGCAATAAAATCATCTGCGTTTTTTTTTGCGTGACTTGTCAGTGAACTACGGCTCTGAGTAGTAAATGCTGCTCCATCTGAAAGCTCGTGATGATTTACTGCTGATTACAGAACCGGCTTTACTAACAAAATGCGCATGACAATTGCATTCGATTAATCGTGCAGCCCTAGTTCTTTGTGCATTTTTCTTTTTTTCTACTTGTTTGCACTTTTTGTTAGAAAATTTTTATTTACTATTTATTCAGGTTTTTTTAAGGTATCTAACATTTTGATACTTAATTTCCATGATCTAAATATTCTTAAAAATTAAAAGTTTGTTGTCATTTGGAAGTGTGTAGTCGTCCTTGTATTATTATGCTGTTACATTATGATTTTATATTCAGTGGCAGAAAATGGTCTTTAAAATGACAATAATATCGCTTATCGCAATTATTTCTGGGGCAATATATCGCACAACAAAAAGTTGTTATCGTGACGGGCCTAACCACAGAGAACAAAGAGCGCGTGATAGAAGGTTTTTCATATTAATTTATTTGGAATGCCAGAAGAACAAATTATCCGAATTTGAACATATCCTTATGCTAATTTGCGTTGCGCTTGGTGGATTGCGTTGGTCATTATGGAAATGAGATGTTTCATCTGTGTTCTTTAATTTGCGTGTTGTCAGTAAATCACCCGCAGAAATTTCCACGGCCATCGGCGCGGTTTTGTAAAACTGGCCCCTAAGGTCTGGTACAGCCTATTCTGGCTACTTGGACAAGAAAAGAAACACCCTCCCTTTCCATTGATTGACAAACTTTCTTGTGCACAGGTGGCGATTGCTTGCGTCTGCAGCAGATCCTTGATATGTGGAAGGAACGGAACGCCGGCTTCTCCTCCCGCCTCATATTGGTCCTGGACACTGAGAATTCTGCGCCATGGGTGAAGGCGGTTCGAAAGGTGGAAAAGATGTACGTAGCAATACAAGGGGCCAAGATGAGCCCTGTCCAGGATGCCGAAGCCCAGGAAGCTCCTCGGTTGGGAGACTTCACCACTGAGTGGGTGAAATACAACTGCGATCCTGACAGTGGCGTGCAGTGGTCAGAGAGGGGTCGGGTCATCTCCGCTATATACGGCGTGTCCAAACCCTGGAGTGACTACGCTCTCCACCTGCCCACCGGAAGCGATGTGGCCAAGCACTGGAAAACACACTTCCCCAAGGCCACGTACCCACTGGTGGCTATGGCGAACTGGTGCTGCGGACTCAACCTCCTGTGGCTGTGTAGTGCGTGTTTGCGCTGCGTCAGAAGACTGAAACTTTCTTGGTTCCCTCCCAGCATACTAGACACGGGGCAAGGGATTAAACTAGTCCGATCATAGGTGACCAGTTGGTTTGCTTCTACACAATGTACATATATCACCATATATCTTTTCTATGCAATTTGTGGGGATATCCTTTATTGACTGTTCAGTTGCCTTTAACAAATTACTTTAATCAGTTATGGATGGGAAATGTGGATCACTCAGTCTTGCTTCTAAAGATCTACTTTCCTCTAGAGTTTAAAGTCGCACCTAATTTTCAAATCAGCCCCAAACGACTTTTAACCTTGCAGGTAGGTTGATCTTTAGGAACAGGATTGAGCCCCATTGTCATATGACAGGTTCTTCTGTTTATCTGTGTGCCATATATACACAATATAGCCACTGTCTTATCTCATATACAGTATTGAGACTGTCAGTGCCAAGTGCCTTGTTAATTTATTACGTTTTTAGTGGGTTTTCTCTGGATTTGGGTGAAATATGTGTATTGCAATGTATTCGATCTCAGGCAAAGTAAATCAAGAAATCTAATTGTACCTTTAAAAGGTTACTTTTTTTTTTTTGACAAGCAGTAGAGCAGGTCTGGATTAGTTGTTTTTCCAAGACCTCTACAAAAGCCAATGTTTAAACCATATCGTGCCATATTTTATTTTGTATTCTCTGTAGGGTTTTTGTGTTGAAGAGTTGACTTCAATTATTTTTCAACCGACCAGTGTCCCTTAATAAAGACTGTTTAAAATAAATTATTTGGTAAGTAGGTGTTCTAGCATGTGCCAATACCTGTTTTTAGTGATGATTAGTTAGAATAGCTTGTTCTGGCACTACTGACTGCCTCACTGTCAAAATCATTACAGTGTAATGAAACGTTCACTTCCTAAACTCCCACAATGCACAGTAAAAACACAAACCTTATACTGAAAATCTTTTCTGTCTCTTTCAAGCCAAAAAATGGAGGTTGACTGCATATAGCACTGCACTTTTTGAAAGTAAATGAAACATCAGAATCACTAGTTCTCTTACGTTACAGTTGTTGAAATACCAATGATGTTTTAATGCACACAATTGAGTCATCAGTATTTCAATTCATACAGGCTCTAGTTCTTTTCCCATGCAAATTCATGGTCACAATATCCTCATTCAGGACATCGGGAACAAGGTAGAGTAATGAGATGCAGCACCTGACTCTGTTTTATACATAGCTGTAATGCACATGTATAGCATTTCAGTTATGTGAAAACAGGGCATGTGATGTCATGGAAACAGTGATTGTCAGTTTGTTCATTCTTGTCCTTTAGAGAGCACGACCTGCGTTTCACTGCAGCTGAACACATCTCCCAGGCAACATTTTAGAGTCACTTTCATGCACTTTATTAGTTCAGCACAGCAGGTGGATGAACTACGGCTACCTTGAGGCTGATCTTTCAAAGTGAGGGGGAAAACCTTTCCTTGCTTGTCTCTTAAAGGTATGGAGAACATTTATGTCAGTTTTATTACGTACCCTCCAGAACCCAGTTCCTACTATTTGTTGACATTTCTCTGTTGTTAGCAGAGGCAGAGTGTAGCATCTTTGCTAAGGTCAGTGATTCATGTACATACGGCAGAACTGTTTTATGCAGTGATTAGATTAAAGCTAGCTTCATCCTCTAAACTGAATTAGCAGTGCTCTGCTTCACCTATAGAGGATTGCTGAGTCAGATCACGATGAACAGACACACGCACACTCATCTGGACCTTGTGTGTCTTTCCAAATCCAGATACATAGCTGTGAGTAAGCAGATGTCAGAGTCATATTATGAAACTGCACAATTGGGTCAGAATCATAACATGGAAACGCACAAGGTGCTTTGCACTCAAGCAATTAATTTGAAGATATTCAATGCATGTTTTAAGACTGATTCCTCGTGAGAGCGTGCAGAGTCTCATGACTTTTACCAGAGACAAATCAGTTGTATAACATATACTATGATTTATATGTCGCTTGTGCCGGAGATGCCAGTTCAAATCCTGCTCAGGGCGAACATTGCGAGTAGAATTGGTGCCGTGACCCGTATGGGAGTGAGGTTTAAGGGGTTGCGTGTAATAGAGGCCAGCTAGTAAGTGCTGTGCAGGTAAACCTCACTCCTTTGATCTCAAGAGGCGCACTAGCGACTGATGCTAGGGGCTGCAGTGTTTACCATTCTTGTTAGCGCACCTGCCTCCCATGGCAGAAACGCCAGTTTAAATGGTGAGTAGAATCAAAGGGGTTACATTAGGGGCTTTTGCACTGTGTAGTTCTAAGAACTTAGTACTAGGAGCTAGCCATCTTGGTGGTTCCTAGAGAACCAATTTCTCCCTCATGTTGTTTTCCTGGTTGCATTCGCACTGGCAGCAGGAACTCTGAAGCGGCTGACAGCAATGTCTTTATTCGAGGCATTTACGGACGTCTCTCAAAGCTCATAGATATGGACTGATTTCACTTGTGATTTCAAATTATTTATCTGAACAGCTGCAGCTGAATAGCTTGAATTAAAAGCGTTGATGTAGCCAAATAACCTTGGAAGGGTAATTAGCTCACCTGTCATGAGCAAAGCGAGGCAGAGAGACAGAGCAATGGCAGATAGAAACTCACTCAGTGGACTGTGTCTAAAATAGACTCTCCCCACAGATGCTTTGGATTGAATATAGTCATTTAATTCAATGCCAACAGGAGTTTGAGACTATTGAATCACCTGATAGCATGTTTTTATTGAAGTTAAATGGCAATAATGTGCATCTTATAATCTTTTTGTTGTGTGGATTTTAGACAAGCATACATTTGTGTTTGCAAGATACCAGACTGTGACAATGAATGCTTGAAAGAAATTGCTGGGTTTACCAAAGTATACAAGGTTTGTGTTATTTAAAATGTTTTTATGTTTAAAGTATATACTGGTTCTTAATAATATCTGTGATACAGTCAGTACAAATTAGTCAACTATTTTTCATTGTTTAATTTGAAGCCAAAAACATACATTTTCTGCTTGTCCATTTCTTGTTGCTCTGTAATTGTGCAGTACTGTGGTATCATTTGTTTCAGCTTTACTTGCACTGTACTGAAGAGAGAAAATGAAGTATGGTTGGTTGCTGTACAGACAATCAGATGGTTTCTACAAGGCTAGACTGACAATTCTTGTTCAAAACAAGTCTTGAAGTGGACCAGACATAATGCAAATAATCAAAACTATCATCCCTACTATAAGAAAGACTTTGAGGACTGTTTAATTTTAATGCATGTGCCTTTTTAGTTTTTTTTTTACCAAGAACCTTTTCTTTCTCCATCTTAGTTTTTCTTAGCTGTTGGGCAATTGGGCAGTGGAACGGAATAGCCTAATTTAGAGGCAGCTGACAGTGACTGTGCCTGAACTTAGTGTGTGTGTGTTGGTGTGTGATTTTGAAACTGCATATACATGTACACTGATACACGCTGTTCCCTTCAGAATAGCTCATCCTCTGATGCAGTAAGTTGCCAGTCCTGAATCTACTGCTTGTGAGCTTAATGATGACTGACTTGGACACTGGAGGTGAAAGCTGTCCCACACAACATGACATTATACATGCGGGGAAGTCGTGGCCTAATGGTTAGAGAGTCAGACTCATAACCCAAAGGTGTGGGTTCGAGTTGTGGGTTCGAGTCTCGTACCGGCAGGGATTGTAGGTGGGGGGAGTGAATGTACAGAAATAGCTCATCCTCTGATGCAGTAAGTTGCCAGTCCTGAATCTACTGCTAGTGAGCTTAATGATGACTGACTTGGACACTGGAGGTGAAAGCTGTCCCACACAACATGACATTATACATGCGTGTGACATTATAGGAAGTCGTGGCCTAATGGTTAGAGAGTCAGACTCATAACCCAAAGGTGTGGGTTCGAGTTGTGGGTTCGAGTCTCGTACCGGCAGGGATTGTAGGTGGGGGGAGTGAATGTACAGCGCTCTCTCCCACCTTCAATACCACGACAAGGTGCCTTTGAGCAAGGCACCGAACCCCCAACTGCTCCCCGGGCGCCGCAGCATAAATGGCTGCCCACTGCTCCGGGTGTGTGTTCACGGTTTGTGTGTGTTCACTGCTGTGTGTGTGCACTTTGGATGGGTAAACGCAGAGCACTAATTCCGAGTATGGGTCACCATACTTGGCCACATGTCACTTCACTTATTATTAGCAGGGTATTTAATCTGCATAAAGCAGAAGTGCTCCCCCTTTTGGGAAGGGTTAATAACTACCATAAAATGTCAGTTCTGGAACTAGTTGATGTCAGTATAGACCTTAATCAGGGTAGCATCATATGTGTGACCCTGGACCACAAAACCAGTCATAAGTAGCACGGGTATATTTGTAGCAATAGCCAAAAATACATTGTATGGGTCCAAATTATCGATTTTTCTTTTATGCCAAAAATCATTAGGATATTAAATAAAGATCATGTTCCATGAAGATATTTTGTAAATTTCCTACTGTAAATTTATCAAAACTTAATTTTTGATTAGTAATACGCTAAGAACTTAATTTGGACAACTTTAAAGGCGATTTTCTCAATATTTTGATTTTTTTGCACCCTCAGATTGCAGATTTTCAAATAGTTATATCTCAGCCAAATATTACTTAAATGGAATGCTTATGATATATAAATCTCAATTTCAAAAAATTTACTCTTATGACTGGTTTTGTGGTCCAGGGTCACATTTTTTTACATGAATGAAAACAAGGCTGTGAGGGATAGAAATACTGTGTGTTCAACGGATTGTACTGTTGTTTAACAGCGGGCTGATTGTTAAGCTGACGAACGTCTTCCTAAAGAAACTTTCAGTAGACAAAAACTCCTAAAATGTTTAAATAGTTTTGAAAGTTGTAAAAATGACACAATAGGACCTGTATACAGTGTGTGCCTTTGTAAACGCTTTAAGTCTATCTCACAGCTTCATTTTCATCTGCATTAAATTAAGCATGGCGTCTAACCTGATTAAGGTCTATTATATAAAATAACGACAGCCATTTTGTTCTCATTTAGAGGGAAAAGTGGCAGCATATTAAGAAAAAACCACTGCAATTGTCCAAAATGGTGTTAAAAATAATGGCTTACATTTTATAATAACATTAATGTCAACAAATATTATATTATATTAGATGCTTTTATATTAATATAAATTCAAATACACAACAAACTGAACACACTCTGAGGACACCAGAAATAATTGCATGGACACACAGTGTTCTGTTGTTTAGTAGGTACAACATTAACCTTTCACAGGATGGACGACACGGCAGCCAGTCATAACTTCTGACAACTTTTTTATTTTCCACTCAGTACTGTAACACACACAATACAGGTTCCACACATGCTATATGCATTATTATGTTACCGACTAGCACCTAATACTACACACAGCACATTTAAATGCAAAGGTTTATCTGTATCCTCCTCTCAGATGCTGAGCAAATATTTTTACCTTGTTCATGAATCACATGCAGAATACATTTCAGCCAGGTTGCATAAATGATTTACCTAGAAGTTTGTGTAAATCTCTTGTTGATTCAAAACATGTATATGAACTTAAGGTCTCCAGGTATCTGAATTGTCCTCAAAAGACAGATGGTGAGATCGCACTCTTGTCTCTGCTTTATAAGTGGAATCGATTGAGATTAATTTCACGTGCTCTGTGAGTCTCATGTGGTCATAAGAGGGAACATAAAAGGCTTGGTGCTTTAAAAAGCCTCTCTCTTTCATTAAGATATCTCTTTGACAGTGTTAAAAATATCAGTAAAACTAGTCTTTGATGAGCTTTAGTTAAATAGCCCATCTCAGAAACTCCATTTAGATTAAGAAGCAATGAATTTAAAAGACAAATCTTATTTTATATCATAAAATGAGTTGAAAGGAAATTCTCTATCATTG